AAAATTATATAAAGTTTAATATTGACTAAGCATACATACCTTATCAACACTCTCAAATTTCGCAATTTTAGTTTTTGATATCACATAACTGAGTACTACAAAAGCTATACCAATAACTAATGGTGCATTATATGCGATTGAAAGTGTTTCTGGTGGCGCGAATGAACCCTTAGGAGAACTGCCAATAGAGACTAAAGCACACACTAAGATACTTTGGTCGCTCCTTTGTACTAGGTTAAACGATGAATTGCCAGTAACTTGATCACTTGTCATTAAATCTAATATATAATAATAGTTAATTTCAGAATTTTTGACTAAAAAAAAAAAAAGATAAAATAAGACAAATACCAGTGTGTGCAGTTAGCGGATATGTGGCACTTATTATGACAGTAGGTTGAGTTCTGAGAATCCTACATTCATCTCTTAGTAATGAAGAGGAAAGTTGACACGTACTAAGATGATTGAAACTTATTTCGTATGGCACATCGTGTGTCAGGACCAAGACTGTTGCTTTCGCTAGAATACATAGTTAAAATATCATTTTATTAATATATTAATTTAGAAAAAAAACGGTATAACAATAATAAATTACTTCTAACTGTCCCAACTAAATTCATAGAGGTTTTTAATTCAAGAGTGAAATTTATATAATAATCTTGTGTTGAAAATTTCGTAACATGGATTTCATATCTTAGAATGTCTACTGGTTCGGCACATTTATTAATATTGTATGTGGAAAGTGTATGGACTTCGGGATTGGGATTGGATTGTCTTTTTTCAACGACCGACCGCTGAATTGGATTTGTCACAACCTGCACTGCATAGAGCGATAAGGTAATTATAAAATAAAGATGTAAATAAACTTTCATCATATTTGTGGGAAATTTAATTCGAACGTAAAAATTTTGATGAGCTTTATATTTAAAAATTGGTTACATAGTTTTGTTAGAGATCATAGTTTTTTGATTTCTGTGATCAAGATGAAATATTCAATATTATTCGATAAATAATTAGTGATTAAATAAGTATATACCCTTTGTTTAAGACACAAGTTTATGATTTTATTTCTTTAAATGGCGCGTTCATTT